TTTTACGGGTTCTAGTTCTTCTTCTAATGGTCATCGACAAAGTCGTAAAGAGTTGATGACTAATTTAATGAACGAGGTTTTAAAAGAATCAAGTAAAAAAAGTCGATACAATAACGATTTGGGTGAACTAAATATGTATGTGCATACTAACTTTATGGCCGCATGTCCCGCAAATGATGTTGAAGATTTTGAAAAATTGATTTATTAGATTTTTGGAAACAAAAACAACCTCAATTCCCGATTTTGGCGTGCATCGCACGTGATGTACTAACAATCCAAGCTAGTACCGTAGCTTCGGAGTCTGCTTTTTCTCTTAGTGGCAGGATCATTTCGATACGTTGGACAAGACTAAGCCCAGAGTCCGTGGAGTGTTGCATTTGCTTGAAGGATTATTTGGATAGCGTTGATAGGATTCAACACACGACATCGTTAGAGACGGAGATTGAAACGGTGGAAGAAAATCTTGAAGAAAATGAAATCTCCATGGGACTAAGCATGCCACCAAGTACCGATACCGAGAGCACTTACTCCCAGTCCCAATATGACAATGATGAGGAACTCGACATTGATGACCTTGAAGACCAAGAGGCTATTAGAAGAATTCAAGAGACCGAAACTCTTCAAGTCAATCCGACATGGGATACCGATGAAGATTGATAAATAAATTTATTTTCAAATAATTTTATAGTTTGAGCTTTGTAAAACAATGTCACTTTAATCATAATAAAACATATTTTTAAAGTGTATTTGAGTGAGCCTTATTTTTAAAGTGTATTCTTAAACGTATTTATAATAAAACGTATTTATAAAATTAAACGTATATAACAAAACGTATTTATAAAATTAAACGTATATATATATATATATAACAAAACGTATTTATAAACATATTTATAATAAAATGTATTTATAATAAAACATATTAAAAATAACATATTTCAAAGATATTAATAACATATTAAAAATTTATTAATTACCAAAAATTTGAAAAAAAAATTAAAAAAAATATTTTTTTTGCAAAGGACCGGCCGTAACCGGTTATGGGACCGGAACCGGGACCGGAATGCTTAACCGGTTACTGGTAAGCTTGACCGGTTATGAGGGATTTCACCGGAACCGGGACCGGTTAAGCTTGGTTTTTGTCTTGATCGGGACCGGCCGCAACCGGCCTGGGACCGGTTTTTGGCCACCTCTAGTGAGAACTTCTACCTTAAGTTTTTGTTTCACACGATTTTTTTTCCATTTAAATATAGTATTCAACGTATTGGTTAACATATGAATTTTTTTTTCACCTCATTAATGTTGGACATTCAATCCTAGGTGGAGATCTCTTCTTACGCTTCTCACTATAACTTCTCTTTTCATCGGAACCCAACCGTTTGATTATATATATATATATATATATATTTTGAGCATATTCACATGGTTGAAAACAAAATGAAACAGGCAGCTTTGTAACATCGGCGGCTCGGACCTCGATCGGTCGGCTACATTGGAGAACATCACCGACGCGTTAGATATTGCTCCAGTCCAGAGATGCTACAACATGTCTCTGGCTTGCAGTCTTTCAAACTCCACGTCTGCATTCCCAAAAAATTGATGAACAGAGACTTATTCCAAGGAATGCAAGTTAGATCAATAAACTTACGACCTATAATGCAGTCTATTAAGACATTAAGACATATTTGACATTGTATAAGAATGTTTTGTGAATTATATGATACAATAAATAAGGTCTTCAACATTTATATGAATATTTGGAACTGTGTGATCTTAACTAGACTCCATGTTAAGCAATGTGAACCTAGGAAGCATACTTGCATACTTGTAGTTCCTTATGAGTGATGTCTCACTAAGCTCGAAATGAGATTGACGTGTTCTTTCAGTGAAATACTCGAAAACATGCTGTGAAAAGTTTATTTGAGGTCAAAGATCAAGAAACCGGAAGACAACATGATCAGAGGTAAAAATTGCATACGCTAGTACCTTTACGCTAGCCACCCATTCCATATTTGAATGTTCAGGCATCGTTGTCATCCAGTCGCCTTTCGTGGAATGCAAAAACATTCCATTCTCGGCTGCTAACCACATGTTGTACTCACCAAAGTTCTAGGAAAATCTATACAAGTGTTTAGAGTTCCACATCAACTAAACTTTGGACCGAAACCCCCCCCCCCTCTTTTCAAAGGGCTATTTTGGAGAGTAATTTAACGAGGTTCCACATATTTTCAGGTATTAGAGCCAAGGTCCACCATTTAAGAGATCTTTTTCCTGGGAATCGACATTCTAGGACATCTTTGCCCATCTAGTCTCCATTGGAGGGAGTGTGTTAGAGTCCCACGTTGGCTAAACTTGGACAATTTTTATTCCATATATGTTGGAACTTTGAACCCCCCCCCCCCCGGTTCTTTTTTTAGAGTAATATAATAAGGTTCCACGTATTCTAACAAAGAAGATTGTAGAAGTATCATGAAAACTGTTGAGAAGCCAAAAGACAAAGATAGATGACTTACCTCAACCAATACCGCCCTGTCGCTTCCACTGAGGACAACAATGGTCGTTTTCGGATCATTGCAAAGCCTCGTCAGAGGTTCTTTCAACTCGAGGTTTAATTTAAGATCCATTTCTCTTATTTGATCACCTCCACATCTATCAGGGTATCAACTGGTTCAGTTAAAGTCACATTGAATCCTTGCAGTTTTTTATGTCGAAAGAACAAATATATCAAACTAGAAACGCATATGAGAACACTTTGTTAAAACTCAAATGCTAAAATCCCAGTATTAGATCATTGTGTTTACTTGACGGTATAAGGAGGAAACTTTATGCAGAAAACCAGGTTTTTTCCAAACCCGTCTTTCCAGTTTAAAAACACTCCCCTTCCCTCTACGAGAAAACTTTTCCAAACAAAAACATTTACAATCTATACAAACAGCTTAATCTACAATGACAACTTTATACATTCAATAAACCAACCAAACAGCCCCTATATGTTTTATAGACTGTTTTATAGGACTTAAGTTTATATGATTCAAATAATTATATGTCCGATGTAAATGTGTTAAAATAAGTTGATACAACGCTTTTGGGGTCCTAACAAGTTACTAGTTTTTTATATGACATTATTTGAAGGTGTTATAGAAACAAGTGTCTTATAAAATTATATGTTCGTAGGACACTTCTCAAAAGTGTTATATTAACACTTCTATAGATTGATTATCAATACCGCACAAAATGGTTTCAAGGCGAGTAAACTATAGGTATAAAATGACTAAAATTAAATCTACTATTTATTGCTTTCAAGGCGAGTAAACTCTCTATCCTTAAAGCAATTTCGCCCCCACCGTAGGTGCTTTGGGTTATGGTGAATTGCTTCTCAAGATACAATGAAGCAACGTTTGTAGATTGATTATTAACACCGCACAAAATGGTGATAATCCCGATCGAACTATTGAGTAAATCAAGGATTTCAAGAAGCCTAAAAGTATGATTCTATAGCAAAATACTTTTAGGTTAATTTTGTATATGAAAAGAAGATTATTTTGGGTGTTTATAAGTAGGTATATATAGGTATAAGTGACAACCCTCTGAACTGTCACGAATTGATAGTTTTTGACAGTTTTTACCTTTCTCGACAGTTTGAACCGTTGCAACCAACTAGCAGACATCATCTGGTTGGGTCTCGCCGGTATCAACAACGAGAAAAAAAAACTACCAAATGGACTATTCAAACAGCACCGACGGTTATAACTTGTGACGCATCAAAGCGTCGCGACTATTCAAGCAGGCGCCTTTGTATCAACTGTCGCTAACCCCCAATTGAACCATCATTGTGGTTCATAGTTAATGCATACAAGTGTTACATGAACCGTCACGATATGTCACTTATAAAGGTATCAAAAGTAATTATATAGACCCCCAACATTTCCTATATATATTAAATTAATATATCGAAAATTGTTCCACTTATATACCTACTTTTTTTCACTCTTTCACCTACATGGGATAAGGTGAACCCACCAAATCCAAATTTTCTCTTCTTCCTAAGAATCAACCCAAAACACTTGAACTTATTTACTTAAGTTTGAATTTTTTTTCCAACAATCTACCATTTATCCGTCCCACAATTTCATGAACCCGACTTGTGAGTTTTTGATCTGCGAAAGCACAAAATGTAAAACCAAAACTATATGTCAGGTCAGGTGTATTGAGAACTAAAACTTAATATGCATACACATATACATATCGATTAAGCAAGAAGGCAACTTAAAAAGATATAGATATTGTGAAAACATACATTCAGGAACATCAGTTCTTGTTGGTACTGCAATTTGTAGCAAAACCACTTTATCGTGCGAATATTGATTTTCTTATTTTGACTATGTTCTCGTTTGAACCTCCCCTTTATCTATCTATATATTCAAAATTGTAATCGCGAGCATATTCACACATATATTCGTACATTATTTTTACCAAATGGTACAATATTAATTTACAACTTACTATTATACACGTAGAACTTATTAATACGCTTGAACTTTTTAAAACAAGCTCATAACAAACTTGTAAACATTTTCAAATACAAGATAAAAGTTGAGCCATTTAAACACGTCAAAATACTTCATAAAAAAGTTGTCTTTTAAGACTTTTACTAAACATTTAATAAAATATTATTTCTCGCTTACACTTTTAATTTCAATTAGGGATTCGTGGTCTCTCATAAAATATTGTTCCCTTCTTAAACTTTGTGTTGCAATTAGGGATTCAGTAGATAAATGGCCTCTCGTAAAAGGGAACAATACCGATATAACACCTACCTACCTACCTACATGATGTTTAACATTTTGGTGTACATGTCAAACTGATCCAATAAATCTCATTCAAATGTAGGGTTGCAGAAGAGGGGGAAGATGTACACAAACGTGACCTCTACCCTAAGAAAGTACAATGGTTGTTTCCTTAAAGACTCCCGGCTTTTGCAAAAGTATGAGTGAACACTTGGAAAGAAAGAAATGATTTCTAACATAAAATTAATGAATTGAAAGAACCCTCAAACATGAGTTGTGTACAACCACCAAACATGGTACATGAAGCACAAGATCGAATAATGGCGATCGCAGAAACACAGATACAGCCACCGATCAGTCGGTATTATTACGAGTTATGACCAAACCTTCCTACCCATCAGTCTAACCTCAGATATGAATGCAACTCTGCCGTTCTTTTAGCAGCCACATCTCGCCTCACCGAACCCCACTTGACTGCAGCTCGAATCTTGCACCACCTTGCCCGTGGTGATCCGAAACATATTCCGAAATCTAAAGTTTGGTGGTTATTTGGATCTTCATATCCTTCCCATAAAGATGCCCCAAACTCGATACCGATATCTTCTTCTTCAGTGTTGAATTCTCTCATTATGAAACTGTTTTTTAAACCTGGTGAAGAAAAGTATCTGATAGAAGGAGGATCATGGTCCGGTTGAACTGTGCCCACTCCACATATATGCAGGTCCACTTCATCTGTATCAAGTAAGGTGCCATCAGAAGCCATATATAAGTACTCATACTCCCTCTTAAGTATTTGGACTATGTTTGTCAAATTAGCTGATAAGCTAACTCTTGGCTAATAAGCTAGCTCTTGGCTGATAAACTAGCCTTTAGTTGAAATTAACTGAGAAGCTAGATGGAAATTTAAAGTTACCTAAAGAAAGTTCTTCAAGCTTATTCAAACACTACTCGAAGTAGTTTTTCAAAAAGCCAACCAATCCAAAATGGGGCTTTATCAATAAGCTAACTTCTTGTTGCCAAGTATGGCATTGATTGGTAGTCAAAGACTCTCCGTTAAATCGGAGACAATAGCATTTATAAGATTCCAAAATTTGTAAGATGATGTATGTACCTTGGAGCAAATGAGGGATGTTAACATCCTGCAGACCTAAACTTGCGGTTTTAAGGTTAGACATCGGCACCAGCACTCCAAAAACGGATGGATCATCCATCGGTACCCTACCCTCCAAGTTTTTGTAAACTTGTTGCTTTAAAGCTTCCACCATAGGCTGCAAACCATGCAATCAGAAATTCATCAAAACAACTTAAAGCAACGAACTCGTAAGCCCCTGTTCCATCAATCAACTCCTGACACATCATTACTTTATTTAATAAACATTTAGTTTGATTCATCTTTTTTATTGTCTTTTCAATAAAGTGATGATGAGTCAAAGGTTTGATTGGTGGACACAGAGGGGACAGTTGATTTGTATTCGATTAGTGATACACCGAAAATCATGGACTCAAGGAAATAACCAAAAAGCTACGTTATGTAGCTGAATTCTTTGATCATAAATTCCATATCAAAAGCATATAAATGTAATTTGAACAAAGGCTAAATCTTGAAAAAGTCATACCATTTGAAGCACAGAGAGCTTATCGAGAGGCAGATAATCTAGACCATCGAAGGTTGCACCCACAACCTTCAAAACAGAATCGAGCAAAAGCCCGATTCCTTGTGCAGCACATGGGTACATGTACAACTTTTCATCTAAAACACAATCTTTCGCATGCTTGATTACCGTCTCCCACGTCTTGTTAGATGATCCACCAAGTAACTATAATATACAACACAAAACCGACTTAATTACCTTTGACAAGCTCATATTATTCAAAAAAAATTGCTATTTATTGTTGTCTTACATTGCGTAGTGAAGACTCGTTGGTAGCATACACTTGCAAAAAGTCCTTGACGGTGCATATGCCGTGTGATGCCAATCGCTTATGAGAAACCCCGTCTTTTGCTATTTTTTCCAATCGCCAGATTTCATCACCCAAGGATGGAGGATGGTGCTTCTTGTATGCTATATAAAGAAAACATCTTTTATGTTAGTTTCTCCAACCAATCAAGGATTGTTGTAAAAAAACTGCTCAAGGAAACAAAGGGAAGCTTACACTCTCCACGGTGATCTTTGACTACGAATGCTTGACTTGTTGCTTCTCTAATTCTCACACCAGCCGTACCCTTGGCCCGTGCACCCACCATAAACTTCCTACTCCGTCTCCAACTCGAATTATCAGTAAAACACAAGTCACCTAGATCCGTGACTCCATTTTCTAAGGTCACTACCAAATCCCCGGTGATCAATGGCCGTCTGCCGTCTCTTGCATGTATAACTTTGGAATTGAAATCTTTCTCAGACCAATCTTCATCATTGTCAGCGATGAAATCACCATCTAGTGGAACAATCTCTATCTTCAATGATGATAAGGGTCCAGATGATACAACTTTGTTGGAGTTGATATCAAATAAGACTAGTTTCACAGCTGTTTTGTCCTTTGATTCAATCTGACTTCCAGTGAAGAATGTATCAGGCAACTTAGCCAAAATGCGCAGCTGCAGTGATGTCTTCCGACATGGTTCAAGCACGTTGAAAGAAGATCTGTACCACAAACATAATTGGAAGCGTTACAGAAGCATGCCAAACAAAACAATTCACATCTAAAATAAGAATGAAAACCACACTGCAAATAGACAATTGCATCAATGAACAAGAGCATATATGCTCCTTCCATTTAGCGCTGAATGGGATTAAGTTGTCCGTATGGATTAATCTAATTCATTGTTTGTTCCAAATAAGCCATACAGGCAATTAAGCCGATACCAAACAACCCCTAAATTCCATCTGAATTTGATCACAAGATTAATAAATACCTAGTTGATGGAAATCTAACCTTGGTAATGTACAAAAGAATCTCTGACATGAACGCTGAACTTCGTCTTGCACCTATCAGACAAAATAATATTAGAATCTGGCATTGGCAACAAGATTAAGCAAGTTATATGCAAACAATCCAGACATGAAAGCAATCTCAAGTTACCAGAATGACAAAAGGTTGATAACATAAGAAGATATGTCAAGAAATCTATCCAAAGCAAGAAGATATGAACTTACCCATCTTCGAATTAATGGTTCCAAAGTTGAGGTTAATTCTTGTGATGAAATCCCAGTTATCAAACTTTGAGCAAATCTGCAATGAAATCAAATACCAACAACATTAACAACACTTATAAAAATCAATCATAAACATTAGTTTTTTTATATGCATCTTAATCACTCACTTTGAAGATGTAATCCTTCTCTTGGATTCTTGATTACCAACTGTAAACCATTCCCCTTCCCCCTCACTAAAAGGTCGTTTGAGTACCATCAAAAACCCAATAAGCTTATAATCAAAATCAAAATCAAAATCAAAACCAAAATGTGTAACTATCAACTACCCAAATCCACAAGCTTATATATATATATATATATGTAATATATAGTTTGAGGAAAGTTCTTTGAAGCTCCCAACTGAAACGGTATTATATAATAAACATAACACAACTTAGTATATTCCTAGATTAAAGAATCGCTGAATCCAAAGGGTATTCAAAAGTTCCTTTGTTTTAGCTCAAACGGTTGCTTGAATCATCGAATTCTCATAGTTTTATATAAAAAGGGGTATATCTTAAACTAGCAAACCGCGTAAAGAATGAAAGCTACCTTCCAAAACGAGTAACGGTTTATTTGACTTATAAATCAATATCATACAATTGATTTTCTTCTAATTGCACATAAAGATTCAAAACAGTGAGTTGTAAATGGTAGAATAAATGCTAACCTCCTGGTGAGTAAAAAGGATTTGATGGATTGGAGAGTTTAAGAGGGAAGGTTCATGGAAGGTGTCAGGAAACGCGTCAAGACTATTTGAATCCAACCCCTAAAAGTCGTCGCTGGGTCTGTTTTATGTGAAAGGTGAGATTTCCGTTTTGATTTTGAATCACTCAAATTTTTAGACATTTTTTTTCAATTCAAATAAATATAAGCGCTTAATTACTCGAGATTTTTTTGGTATCATTTGACTAACAAAAACAAGTATAAGATTAAAATTTAAACAATGACATGATTTGACTAAGAAAATAACACTAATAGAATCCGAACTCGAGTTTAGGGTGGAAGAAAAACCTTGCAAACCAACTCTAACAAATAGAACTTGTTTTACGAACCTAAATTTTTTTTACCTTTCGACGGAGGAATAATACAGTAACACCATGTTGGGTTCGTCCATGTCCCATCCTATGTTAGATAATCTTAATTCTCAACTTTGTTTATTTTTCTACTGTTTGTATTTTATATTTTATTAACTGTTGTCTTTCATTGGTTTAGATGGAAATACCGTCAATACGGAAATCAAATTTGGTGTAACACTTTTCATTTATGTCAATAAGAAAAGAAAATACAAAATGAATATACATAGAATCTTATCTACTAATATAAGATTTGGTGTGATTTATTAAACTAGATTTATTATTTGCATCAAGTTTTATATCAACTAGTGTTTGACACAGACGTGGAACACAAGCTTTTTAAACAAGGGGCAAAACCAAAACTTTATAAATGTATCGTATAAACGGGTATAGTTTGCTTCAATATAATAGACATGTATGTTTAAAAAAACACAAAAGACACTACCTAAAATTAGGGCTGTAAACGAACCGAACGAACATCAACGGTAGAACGGAATTTTTTATGTTCATGTTCACTCGTTAAGAAAATGTGCTTGTTCAAGTTTGTTAATATTCATTCGTGAAGATAGATGCTCTTCTAAAGCGCAACTCATGGGTGATTCAAATCTCTTCTTACACTGCTCACCTTAACTCATATCTCACACAATTATTTGCCTATATGTTATATTTATATATATATATATATATACATATATATATATATATATATATATTTGTGAAGTACCGTGTGAGAAGGAGAGTTAAGATGAGAAACGTAAGAAGGGATCTAAATCATTGATCACTTTAATCTCAAACTCACCCATGAATCTTGTTTGATACATGAATTGATCCGGTGCATCTCATCCTAATCCAAGGGTGAAGATTCTTTCTTACGCTTCTCAACTTAACTTTGTTTCTTACTAGAGAGAGAGAGAGAGAGAGAGAGAGAGAATCAAACGAGAATATTAACTATTTAAGAGAATACGAAAACAGTCAAATTACGTGCAAAATCAGGTAATATTACATGAACGGCCAAAAAAAAGTGTGCGAGTGACTTTGGCTGCGTCTTCAGGTCATGGGCAAAGTCGTGTGAATCACATGTGATTTTATACGTGATGTTAGTATAGAATCACATATGATTCGACCGTTTTCTTATTCTATTAAATATGTGTTGTTCTCATTTGAACTAGACTATGTGTCTGTGTGTGTGAATGAAATTGAGAACCCACAAAATTGTGAGGACTTCTTCATCTAATGCTAGGATTTATGGTGTTTATTACCATATAATTATTTTACAATGTGATTTTTTTTTTTGGCATTTTTGGAAACAAAAAATGCATCTAAAATTCATCACATTATAAACTGAATACATATGAAAGAAACATATTATGAAATAAATAAATGTTAATTCAATACATTAAATACTAACCTTAAATGGAAAAAAATCATGTGAAACAATATCTTAAGAATAAAAGTGCCTACGGTTATCACAATCTATGAGGTTTTCATCTAAATATGCTCATATAATATATATATATATATATATATATATATATATAGGGGCCTAATCAAATGAGAACTAATTAGTTTGTAGTAACTGTGAGAACCAATATTAACCACAAATCAATTGATAAATTAGGAAATTTATAATTTTGGCAATTTTGAATTAAAATTTTAATGCAAGGATATTTTTGGTATTTTAAAACTTT